ATATATATATTAAATATAAAATTACTTATAACTAATAAAACACACACACATATATATATATTATAAATTACATTATAAAATATATATATATACATATTATTTTTTAATATATATTGTATATATATTAGTTATAATTACTTTTATTTTAATATGCATATTAGTTATATATATATATATTACATGTATAACTAATATATATACATATACATATTATTTTTAATAGATACATTATATGTGTATGTGTTAGTTATAATTATTTTTATTGTAATATGTATATGTATTAGTTATAATATACATATATTTTATCAAAAAAAAATATACATATATATTGTATTGTAGTTATGTGTGTAATATATTGTAGTTATACATATAACATATACATATATAACTAATACACATATTACAATAAAAATAATTATAACTAACATATACACATATAATATATCTATTAAAAATAATATGTATATGTATATGTATTAGTTATACATGTAACATATATATATACAACTAATATGCATATTAAAAGAAAAGTAATTATAACTAATATATACACTATATATTAAAAAAATAATATATATACAATATATATTAACAAATAATATGTATATATATATATTATTTTTAATGTAATTTATAATATATATATATATATATATATGTTTTATTAGTTGTAAGTAATTTTATATTTAATATATATATGTGTGAATTTATATGTATATAAATTAATTTAAATAATTATGTAATTTATTTTTGTTTGTAATGATGATGTGTTATAATTTTGATGATGTGTATATAATTTGGAAATCAAGTTATTGACACATCATCATTTTTATTTAAATTGGCAGACGCGAGAAGTTTTCGGTGAAATTATTAATAAGTTTGGGGTTTTATTGATTAATTATACCAAGTATAGGGTTTAATTGGTAAGCAAAAAAGTACAGAATTTTTTTGTTGACTTGGGAACTAGGTTTTTATGGCGATATCGCTTTTTTAAATTCATATAATTTACACAGGAGGGTTAAAGTTATTTCAGTTTATATTATATTTACTATATCATCAGTTTTTATACCTGAATTTTTATGAATTAATTTACATTAGAATAAAAATGACGTATTTGTGTATAAATAATAAGATAATTTTAGTGTTTAGAATGTAAATTTATACTTGGAAAGAAACGGCATCGTATTTGTCTGGGAATGATCTCTTGAGCAATTGGCATTTGGCAGGGGGGGAATTTCATCGGAGGGAGAAGGAGAAGAAGAAGAAGAAGAAGACGAAGATGGGGTACGTGTTGAGGGTGAGGTTGACGTCTTTATTCGCTGGAGCTGCAATGGCGTCGTTCATCGGACTCTCCGTCCTCTACAGGGACTACAAGCTCGCCCACGATTCCATCTCCCACCAGGTTTCCCCATCATTCCTCGCTCTCATGTTTTGGTTGTTCGATTCCATTGCTGTTCATCGTATCCCATGCTCTCATCGCCTAAATAGTCGAATCGATCTGGTTTCCTGTTTGATTTTTTTGGGTAATTTTCTGGGTTCTCTTAGAAGTGGTGCTGCGGGCGATTTGTTGGATGGAAATTCCGGTGAACATCTCGATGTGTTGCCGTGAAATACCGATAGCACTCTAGGGTTCCATTTCTTTGCATCACATTTTGATGCACTGAGAAAGTTAGTTGATGGGTGTTGCTTTGATTTGATTGCCTTTGCGTTCAAGTTTCTTCATTTTTTCTCTCTCGGCCTGAAACCAATATCATCATCATCATTATCATCATCAAATTTCCTGCCTTCAGTTCATCACTGTTTGTGGATGATGTTGGATTTGGATGTTTTTTCTTTTTTGTGGGGTTCTTCTTGCAGTTAGGTGTGTCTAGGCTGTGAACTTAGTTATATGTCTGCATTTCACCATCTGAGAAAACTCCTTTGCAACTTATGAAGGGATCAAGCAATTTAGGTACCACTTGGTTGTGGCTTTATTAGCATTCAAAGCCGTTTGACTTCGCTTGGAACATCTAGCTTATGGTTGAGATCGAAACCCACCAATTACAATGTATGGACAATTTTGTGTTTTGTGATATCATTATAATTATACATCTCAATGCATCCTGGTAGGTGAGAAAACCTGTGAAAATTTCGGATTTGTATAGCAACTTTAGTTGGAATCTGACTTATGCTTATGTTTGATATCTCGACCCATCGATTCTTCTCATGCTCTACATCTCAATGCATCCTGCTACGTGAGAAAAACCTATAGAACTCGGGAAATGAAATGCAAAGCTGAGGCTTTTTGCTGCTGGAAGAACTTGACTTCTCCAATGTCTTTGCTGCTTCTCTGAACTCCTGATCATGCCTCATGTTTCCTGTAATGGTATATCTACAATCTAATGGGCATGGGACATATGGATTTATGTTTCTGCAGGTGAAATCACTTCATGATTCTCTAGATACAAGGATCTCCGCTCTTGAAAATTTAAAATAAAAAACTGAAACTCCTCATTAAGCCTCTTTGATACATTGTTGAGGTACGTTTTAGATTGGAGAATAAATTGAAAACCTTGTTGTGTTAATGTTACAAAGAACGAAGGAGAGTTGAAGTCGCTGTTTTTTGTAAGGTTTCGATGAGAATATGATTCTGTTTCTTTGGATTTAATCACTGTTATGTTATCTGTGTTTTGCCGTTGTGATCTAGAGGTTACGGGTTTGAGTTTCAGAAGCAACCTCTTGCAGAATATTCTACAAGGTAAAGTTTGCTTATAATATACACCCTTATGGTGGGACCCTTTCTCGAACCCCGTTCAACGGGATGCTTTGTACACCGGGCTGCCCCTATGTTATCTGTGTTTCCGGACAATGCTGTTCAAATCATGTTCTAAGTTGTGGTGTTTGAAAGATGAAAAAACAAACCAGTCAATGTTCACCTTGTTTAATCCAGAATGTAGTGTTTAATCTCATCCGAAATCTGAATCTGTCGGTATCACAACCGTGAAATCAGCTGTTTTCGCCAACCTAATGGTCATTTCAGGTTTTGGTTCGATTATATTTGGATTCTATTATTTCGGTTTTAGATCAACTATAATCATTCCGTCTTTTATAAAATTTTGTTCAATTTGATTCGGTTTGGTTATATTTCGGTTCAAATTTGGTTTTATCCATAAAAATACTTAACTATTTCTTTTGTTATTTTTTATTTTGGTTTGGTTCAAATTGGTTTTTTTAGGTTTTAGAAAATCAAATCATTTGGTTTTCTTGTCTGAATTGGTTCCAATTAGAGATATTATATTATAATATCTACATTTGTATCAGAGAAAATTTTAAGAAAATATACAATTTTTTCAAATAAATATATAAATTTGATTTCAAAATGTTAAATAAATTCAGTAATTTTTAAAACAATATCAAATCAACACATGGCCTTCAAAATTGGTAGTAAGAATTAGTATATTTCTTTGCCACTTAAAAAAACTATGTATTTAATTGATAAATTCTAAGTTTGTGTATTTTTTATATTTGTTTTATAAAATTTTCTATTATATTATCAAATGCTTCTAGCATCTTAATTATTATTTTTATAAATACAAAATCATTTTCCGATTTTATATTCGCCGTAGAGATTGTATATTTACTTCCTAAAAAGGTATCATTCGAGGTTGTCTAATCGCCCCTCTTATGTCCAAATAAATAATTTTCCCTCCCGCTAATATTATTTTTGATACGCAATTTAATGACATTATTTTCGTATATTATATCGTAATATCTGAATTTACGTTATCAAAAGCTTTTAGCATCTTAATTATTATTTTTATAACTGAAAAAAGAGATTTCGAGTAATTTGATCCGTTACCAAGCTTAGCATCTACATATATGTATGTATGTATATATATATGGGAAACTCTTTACAGAATCCTTTTTATTTTTTCCTCAGGCATCCAAGTTTCAGATCCATACATCATGAGTTCAAGTTAGTACACTTCTAAATCTACTTCTTCTTCGTATATCGTTGTTTTTTTTTTTTGCGGAATGTGAATTTTCTTGTATAAAAGATCAATTGCCAAAGCTTTTCGATTTTAAATTATGTGAATTTATGTTTATTTTTGTCGAAACTATAACCATTCATTTTATGTTAGATTCTGTTCTGTTCATTTTTTTTTTATCAAGTTTCGGTTTTTATTGATTCATTTTTTCAAACAAATATTTGGGTTTCGCTTATTTTTATTTTGAGATTGCATTCTGTTTTTTTAGATATTTTAAAAATCTTATTCATTCGGTTTTTATATCAAATTGATTCATAAACGACTATGTATCACTCGGCTTAGATAACTCCCGGCTTTCGAAACCCGCAGTTGTCGATGCTATCCCGAAGCTGAACGGATCCAATTTCGAGGAATGGAAAGAACGCTTACTGCTAGAGCTTTGCCTTATGGATCACGACTTTGTCTTTTTCAAAGACCGGCCCGACATCAAAGACACGATGAGTTCCGCCGAGGATCTCGAGCGCTGGGACCGTTCGAACCGCATATGCCTTATGCTAATGAGATACTCGATCCCGCGGCACCTCAGGGGGGTCGTGCCCGCTGACGTGGCATCCGCCAAGGAATTCCTCCAGGTCTTGGAGAAAAGCTTTGCGGTGAACAAGTTTGCGGAAGAGAGTAGGCTGTTGAAGGAACTAACCTCGATGAGGTACGAGGGCGAGGGCGACAACATGTGGGAGTACGTCGGGAGGATGGTTACGATTGCGGGTAAACTGAAGGCGGTCGGTTCCGGGCTCGAGGACAGTGTGGTAGTGAGTTTGGTACTGGACTCGCTCCCTTCGCAGTATTGTCGGCTTAGGGCAAGTTACCGTCATAGCGACGAGGAATGGACTGTGAATGAGCTCATTAGAAAATGTGTGCATGAATACGAAGGACTTAAGGTAGATAAGGTACTGTGTGGTAAGAGGAAGAATGAGAGTGTTGATCTTGGACCCACCCTCAAGAAATAAGCTCCTATTACAGGTATATATATATATATGCGTGTGTATATATATTGATTACAATATTTAATATTTTGTGGAAATATATAGTTTGGTATTAATGTTTTTTTTTTTAACAGGAAAGAGAGTGACGACAATGGGAGATGCAGCAATAGAAGCATATGGCATCCATAGCTGGGAAATGGAAATGGGAGGATTTTTTTATTTTTCAAACCATAATTTTTATCAGGGAAAATCCCAAAAAATTACTCGAACTTTTCAATTTTCCCAAAAATTCTAAACTCTATTAAAATGATAACATAGATTATGACATATGGTTAACTCAAAATCATAAATGGTTATTCGTAGTTGAGTTTTAAAATGACAAATTTTATAAAGTTCGGATTTTTTCAACACGAATTTTATTTGAAAAAAAATAGAGTTTAGTTTTTTTTTAAAAAAAAATTGAAGAGTTGATGTATTTTTTTTTTGTGATTTTCCCTAAGTTTTATAATCTTTATCTTTCTATTCAGCAATGTCATGACTGGGACTGCTCAATGCTCATTACGGATTTTTGGATTTGGATTTGTTAGGTTATTTTATATTATTTTTAAAAATTTTAGAAAAATTATATGCATCACGTGTTTAAATTTGATTTAGTTTAATTATTTGTTTCTATTTGTATTTCATTTTTTCTTGGATTTTTCCCAACTTGGTCTCTATTTATATTCAAATTTTAGCGGGAAAACCACATAAACATATTCATCTTTTTCAAATAATCTATTTAAAAGGGTAAATCCCACCCAAAATTCTAGAATTGTTTTTAAAAAAATTACGAATATCCCTGGATTTGCAAAAACGAAACGAATTAAATAAAAAAAATCCTAAGCTCTAAATTTTACATTATTTGGTAGGCGAGTTTTGAAATGGTCCTTTAGTTTAAGTAGTTTCTGAATTCTGATTGATTATATTTATTTATGTGATTATTCATTTTATTTTATTTATTTTCTTCAATATTCTTCTCTCAATTATTTCTAGGGGTATCAAAAAAGTCTGAGGTCCGTTATATGGTCTAAGTCTGCCCATAAAAATTACGAACTTGAGCCTAAGAAATTGAAGTTCGGTCGTCCATTGGGCCAGACCAGCCCGACCCAAAAAATACGGACCAAAATGCGGACTCGGACAGGATAACCCGACTCGGTACGAAAAAATAAATCAATTATATATTATATAATATATATATATATATAGATATAGATATATATATATATACATAAATATATACATATTAATTCATTAATGTTTAAATAAAATTTAGTATTATATAAAAATTAAAAAAATTTGAGTTTTAATATCTCTTAAATTAACATATATATTAATAAATGTTTTTATCAAAATTTTGTTTTTTATTATCTTTGGCATATATTAATTTTTTTTATTTTGATGATTTTTATTAATAATTTTATTTTTTAAAATAATTTTTTTTCAATATTTAAATCCGAAGTTAGGTCCGAACCCAAAAAAAGCCCATTGGGCCGGGTCTCGTGTCCAAGTTTTTAAGCTCGCATGTGTTTGGGGCCGGGGGGCCGGGCCGACATTTTGACACCCATAGTTATTTCACTCCGTGACACTTTATTGGACCGTAATATAAATATTCTTAATTGAATTATGATTTTTGTCAGTATCAATAAAGCAGGATGGGCCCAAGCCCCTTTTCTGTTAGGATCATTCGAGAGATTGGACGAACCAAGTCGAGACTCTTCATGTGAACTCTACAACCTTCACGATGTCTCCCATCTCCTGTTCCACTCTTCATGTCTCTTTCCTTCTCTCCTTCACCTCTCTCTCTCTATATACACATATCCATTCTTCCCCTCTCTGACCAATGCACAAAACCATAGCTTTCATAGCTGAAGATTCCTCTGAATATATATCATTCAGATTTCAGCGTCGCCTCTCTTCTTTTTCTTTTTCTCTGGTTCAACAATGGCTGCGACGATCTCACTGACGTCGGCTTCACCTCTCGTTTCATGCCGCGGTCCGCACGCGACGCTTAAGACAGTATCTCCGAGTTCTGTTGCTTTTCCCAGAAGAAACCATCGATGGGTCGCTCTTGTGAGAGCTCAAGACCAGCAAAAGGACGGCTCTATTGATGTTCATCTGAATCAAGGACAAGGACAACAACAGCAAGGCAATCAAAGCTCTGCTGTTCAGCAACGGCCTCGACGCTTATCCTTGGATTCTTCTTCTTTCGGTACGCTACTAAAGTTCTCACCTTTCGCTGGTTACTGGCCAAAGTTCGAAACTTTTTACGTGGGTCTGGATTCTGAAGTGATCATTTGAAAAACCCTCGTTCGGGATCATGTTTTCTGACACAGGGTTGTTGGATCCTATGTCGCCGATGAGGACAATGAGGCAAATGTTGGACGCCATGGACAGGATGTTCGAGGACGCCATGACGGTCCCAGGAAGAAGCAGAGGAGGAGGAGGAAGTGGAGTTACAGAAGTGAGAGCTCCATGGGACATAAAGGAAGAGGAACACGAGATCAAGATGCGTTTCGACATGCCCGGCCTGTCCAAGGAAGACGTGAAAGTGTCCATCGAAGACGACGTTCTCGTCATCAGAGGAGAGCACAGGAAGGAAGAAGGCGGAGAAGATTCTTGGACAAGCAGGAGCTACAGCTCTTACGACACTCGTCTTCAGCTTCCCGACAACTGCGTCAAGGACAGTATCAAAGCCGAGCTCAAGAACGGCGTTCTCTTCATTTCCATTCCCAAAACCAAAGTCGAACGCAAAGTCTTCGATGTTCAGATTCAGTAAAATCTGAATCATCCTTCGGTTTTATCCAACAGTGGTTTTCTCGAGCTCTTGATATATACATCCCTATATATATATATATGTTGTATACATCCCACCATATATATATATATATATATGGGTCCTTGTAACGCAAGTGTGGTGTATAAAACGGTGAAATAAAAGAGATCCTTTGGCTGGTGCTGAACAACAGCTTCTACGGGGTAGTAATTTGAACAAATCACGAACCCTGTAATTAATATGAAAAAATCTTTATGAGAGGTCGTCTATGAAAATTTCGAATAATGCTGTCTTGGATATTAATTTAAACAGTATTCCTTCTGTTTAATGTAATTTACTTTAAGAATTGAGTAATCATTTTTTTTTCTTACTCGTACAAATGAATATGAACAAAAGCATCAATATATATATATATGTATGTATCACATCAATCCTAATAATATATACATACAAATATAACAGGACAGATTTGGTATTTGATTTTTTAAAATAAAAAAATATCAATTCAAATTGGATATAAAGATAATCAAAAATAAAAATTATTTAAAAATTGTCCTTTTTATCGATAAAAAACTAAATCCGAACCCATTTGAATCAAATCAAATCTAAAAATTGTTATAATTTTCTAAAATTAAAATTTTAAATCAGAAGATAACCAAATCAAATCCTAAAAATGACCATTGACCACCCCAATTTGACTGGATAACAAAATCATATTCCAATAACGGACGTTTCAAATTACAACACCTAAAATAGAAAATTGAAGGGGAAAAAAAAACAGTAAACAACACCTTTTGGGATGGTAACGCTTAGTCTCGCAGCATGAGCGGCGGTCCGCAATGAATGATTCGCATCACAGAAGCCGAAATCTCATCTTTTCCACAAACCAAAATCACAAATTCACTGCCTACAAATACCATCTTCCCCGTCTCCTCTTTTTCCACAACAAAAGAATGATGAAACTCAAGTTCCTCGCAATCTGTGTAGCCCTAATGGCCATCGTATTGGCGTCCTCCGTGGTTGAGGGGCGCAGGTCACTAGCCCAGGCCAGCGGTTCGGGGACGAGTCCCGATGGCTCGTCTGGTTGGGGATGGGGTTCGAGCCCCAACGGAGGGTTTGGTTATGGCTTCGGAAGCAATGGAGGCTTTGGCTATGGGTTCGGCGGCAATGGCGGTGGAGGGGGTGGCAGCTTTCCTTAATTAGCCATGGAACTCGTGGTTAGAATATATATACACACACACACATGTATGTGTTATACGTGTATAAAAGATAGAACAGTGTAAAATAAAGAATCTTTATGACTGAATATTGTGTAGGACATCACATGATTTGGTTGCAGAGATGATGCAATGTTGGAGTTATGTTTTTTAATTATTATATAATGTATTAATTAATGTGATTGTGATTATGTTGTTTTCATTCCAACATACATATGATATATATACACAGTAGTAGCTTAGGTTGGTTTGATTTATTCATTTCCTCGATACAAACATATACATATATATATATATATATATATATATATAATTCAAGAGCCTATTTCATAATATTACATCCCCAAAATCCTCTTCAGTCTTTGTTTTCCCCTCCCTAATATACGTACAATCAGACTCGGTTCGATTTTAACGAACAAAACCCAAGTGATGTATTCACAGGGCTTGTTGATTTCAGACAGCTTCGTCGGCGACCATGGAACCCCCGAGCTTACTTGCGGTCAGTCAGTGAGGGTTTGCTGTCTTTCGAGACGACGATTGCTCAAGAGGGTTGATTCGGTGCCTCTGCAGGCTCTGATGACTGATTCTTGGATGAAGTTTGGTCCCTAGAAACACGAAATAGGATACATGATCATCTGAGGCGTTTATTGAGTTTAACGGCATGATGGCTGACTCAAGAAGGCTGAGGCATTAGGGTTAAAACTTTATCTCAGTCGATCCTCCAGATTCTTTTTTTGGTTCATAACAGTGAGCCAGTAGCGTCGAGGAGCTCATTCTGACATATACTCATCTGGTTTCATTTGCTTTAGTCAGCCAGTCCTGAATGAGGGATGCAGTCTCGTCCTTCTTCTTGGAGAAATCTTTCAGTTGACACCGTCAATAGCGTATTGAGCGACATATTTTCGCCTCTGGTCATCCTCTTTGCTTCGTATCTGCGTTTGATCCGGCCATCGAGCTTGTAGCCCAGAAAAGCAGGGAAAACAAGAAGCTCCTCCACTTCACGGCCCATATCCCCGATCAAGTACTCCATCTTCTCCTCCAAAGAACTGTGTGTATACTGAAGAATTGGAGGGTGCTTCTTGCTCATTGCAAGAATGTCTTCCAATGATAGCCCGTAACTCAAGTACAGCCCTATCACCTTCTGCATATTATCACTGCTTGTTCTGGTCACAGCTCCCATAGCCCGGGCTAGTTCCTTTGTTCTATGCTCATATCCAATCTTCGCCAGAAACCCGAGTTTATGTGATAGATTATCTTCGGAGAGAGCAAGAAACAACGGCGCTTTACTCAGAAACTTGAAGATCTCTAGCGAATCCAACCCGCATTGCTTCAGAAACTCTATCCTCGGTCTCAGTTTCCTCTCCTTGCTGGTGCTGATAACATTGGGGAACATATGGATAATCTTAAACACTTGATCATTAGTCAAGCCGGCAAAAGACTTGAGGAACTCCACATGGCTAACCATATGTTCCACATTGTAACTCAAAATCGCGGGCAGTCTTCGTAGTACGGTTCCAGTGGCATAATCGTCTTCCCCACTAAGATTCCTAAGAAAACTGACCTTAGGAACTAACTGACCATCCAAATCGAAGTTGAGAATGGAGGGTCGCCTCACGATTATACCAATTCCACCAAAAGGTTCGAAGAAACTGATCATTCTCTCGATGTCTTCCACTGATCTATGACACAGTAGTTTAGTCAGGTTGACCTTTTCCAATACGTGAGAGATCTTATCTTTGGGAATTCCATGGCGGATAAGCAACCTCACCTTCTGGTTGCAACCGACCAAGACTGATGGGTCTGCAACAGAGAACAGACGCTCCACAAGAGCAGGCTCAAGCTTTGCCTCCAATTCATCAACCAAAAATCTAATGATGGGATCGATTTCCTCTGAAGTTAACAACTTTGGATACTTTGAAATCAAGAGCTGAAGCTTCAATCCGTTGATTTTCAGAGACTGGAAAGAGAGAACACGGCCACGGATCTTCTCCAAAGGCGTGAGATTTATTTCTGGGTTCTTCGCCAGAAGCAGTTCCGTCTCTTCCTCTGTGAGCCCAAATTCTTGGAAGAACGAAAATACCAATCCTGCAAGGTAAAACCCACGACTGATAACGCACAACAAGTGTTCGTGAATATGCCTCCAAGAATAAAGTACATGAAGTTACCAGAAATCACCTACCAATCTGACTCCCAGCATCAGTCCGAGAATTAAAGCAACGAAATTGGACAAGAAGCGCAGTTTCTCGATGACCAAAAGACCGAACAAGGAATGGTCGTAGCTCAGTCCTGAATGGAGAAGCGGAGAAGATTCCATGACAACAGATAGGCGTTGAAGACAGAATCTGACATCGGAATCTGGTCGGCGGCGGGAAGGAGGAGACAGAGCAATATGGGAGGGTTAACATTAACATTGGCAATATCCAGACTGAATGCGCTGCTTCTGATGTGGCTGTGGGATTTAACGTGTCGTATTGCCTCCGTCTGGGCTTCGATTGGCCTTCGACACTATTCAGTAGAAATCCCATATTTTCACACATTTTTTTTTAATAATTCTTTCAATTACTATTTCGATTTTATAATATTTTTAATTTCTATATTAGTGACCAAAAAAATTATATAAAAATTCAAAATCTTTAAAAATCTCATAATAAATAAATCGCAAAAAAAAGTTACGGGAGATAAATCTGTATTCCTCCTGAACCAAAAAAAGAAAAAGAAAAAAAAAGGATTCTTGCTCCTTAAGACTGAAGAGGTATAGTTCCAAAGCCAAATTGTTAAAAAAAAAATACACGAATAAATTTGATGGTTCAGGAAAAATTAAAACATATTTACTGAATTTTCCCTTCATAAGAGTTCTAAATTTAAAGATGCATAAAGTACATTTCGTCAACGATAATTAAAATTTCGTAATAAATAAAACAGATTTAGTTATTTCAACTAAAATCACAGTTATTAATTTCGAATAAAAAATATATTTATTTTATTTTATTAACTATACATTATATAAATTATATTTTTTAGTAATTTTTTGAATAACTTACGACATTTCAAACATAAATAGATCGTAAATGCAATAGAAGTATATAAATATTAATTTAATTATAGAGACTGATCTCGAATCTAGAGTGTATATAGTCGGGATAAAGATCCGAGTAACCATACCGATTATAAAAGAATATTTAATTAATAAAATATATTAAAATTTTATATAATAATTTAATTTTTGTTTATAATAATAAAATAATTAATATTTCTTTTTTAGATATGAAATATAATTAAATAAAAAAAATCAAACAATTTTATTTATAAAAAAAAATGTTTTATTCAGTGTAGATAAAAATAGATATTTCATTTTTATTAATACGTATATAAATTTTAAGTTTATTTATTAACTGAATTATAAATAATTTTTATATATTAAAAAAACAAAAATAAATTTTTATATTCAAAAATATAATTTTTTTTTAATAATGAAGTGAAAGCATGGGTTCTTTTAATAATTTAACAGTTCAAAAAATAATTTTGGGTATTATCAAAATGATAATGTAATCTAGATACGGGTGGCTTTCAGGGTTGGAGTTGATTGAGAAAATAATGTGTATAGAGCCTCGAATGAATTGGAGACGTGCGTGCGTACGTGTGCGCAATAAGTCGATTATTGAAGTTTCTGTATCAATAATGTTCCATTTAACATCAATTGCCTGTGACAATCTTTGCATTCGGATCGCGAATCCATCATTTTGAAACAGAAAATAATATATATATTTAACATTTTCAAAAAGAATACAAGCGAAATAATTCATAAGAAAATACACGACCAAAAAGGGGTCTTCCACTTGCAAGAACATCAAAAGGGGAGGATGGTCTCAAAGCAATGAACGCCGTCGAGCTCCGGAGCTATCCTCGGACTCCACCGCCGTACATGCGACTCCGACTTTGGCTTCTTCTTCTCCTCCGGCGACTTCGACGCGGCGTTCTCCGGCGTCGTCGTCGTCGTCTCTCCCTGCTTCGAGCTGAGAGTGGACTTCATCACGTTGTAGCCGTTGGATTCAGCTGATAACGCATCGAACGGGCTGAAAATCGACATCATCTTCGATTCTTTTTCTTCTGAATATCTGGTTTCAACGAGGAAGAGGAGGAAAATATAAAGGGGAGACGTGGAAGAAGCTAAGAAGAATCCAGAAGGAAGGAGAGAGTTGAAGGGGTGGAAGTGGTCGGCTACGGGCTACGTGGGTTGTCGGAATTGGGCGACCTTTCCTTTTTGGAGTTCCAACTTCAAAGGGATAACGCAGAAGAAGAGGGCGTTTGAATGCTTATCCGCAACTTCAATAGTAGTTTCCACTTCCACGTGTCGCCGCGTATTTTTTTTCGGCATGTGAATAATATTGAGGTAGGACCCATCGGGTATTTCAGGGATAAATGGTAGGGCCTACTTTTAATTTTGGTGCAAGACCCATTGAGAATATATTTTTTAGACGGTCAAATGATATGCAAATGCAGCCGCCGAAAAAGAATTTAATTTTCTTCCAAATTAATGCACTATATGGGCTCTTGTGGAGCTTGTCATTGTAACATCGTGTTCACACCTGTTCGAATTATATATACACATACATATCTATGTAATTGGCTTAGGTTCTCACAGGGTACAGAGAGAGCAAAAGCAGAGGGCTGAAACTCATTATCCATTTCTTACATGACAATACACAAACCCATCTCCCATTACAAGGCAGCAACATCAACAACAACGAAGAAGACGGAACCCTCAGAAACCATTGTTAACCACGAAAAAAGAGAAGAGAATACAAATGGGAATATATATACATACATATATGTATGTATGTATTTGAATGAAGTTTAGATCTTCTTGAGGAACTCCATGATGTAAGTACCGAAGGCATTGCAGACGACTTGGAAGCCATGGAAGCCAGATCCTTTGGCCAATGCCTCGAACTCCTTCTCTGTTCGTTCTTTGCCACCAGGGTTGTGAGCCAACATTATGCAGTCTATGTGGACCACCTGTTTCGTCAGGAGGCTCGGATCAGGAGCCACGGGAAGAATGCACTCCGCCACTATCACTTTCCCGTTATCCGGCAACGCTTCGTAGCAGTTCTTCAAGAATTTCAGACAGTGCTCATCGCTCCAGTCATGGCATATCCACTGCCATTGGGGGAAAAGACACAACACAACACGATGAGAGGATGAACTTATTGCGCCAAGAATCGCTATAGCAATAATCTACAAACCTTCATGAAGATGGCATCGCCTTTCGGGACGCTGACAAACATATCTCCTCCGACATGCTCAATACCTGCATCATCGAACGAAACCCGTCTCTATATCAATCCGAAACCGATTAAATATCCGGCCGAAATGGTCAAGGAATGGCAAGAACTTCGAACACGCATGTACCTGGATAAGAAGGAGCATCCTCAATGACATGAGGGAGATCAAAGTTGATGCCTTTAATGGCAGGGTACTTAGAGACAATCATGCTGAGAGTGGCTCCAATGCCGCCACCGACATCAACCACAGAGGATAAACCCTCGAAGCCATTGTAGGTCTCGAGGATCTTCTTCATCGTGATCGTGGAGTGGTTGGACATTCCATTGTTGAACACTTTGTTGAATCTTTGGTCAGTCCCGTGGTATTCGAAGGCTGTCATTCCGTACGCCTTGTTGAACGGGATCCCACCTTCGAGCACCGCATCCTTCAGGTGGTACCTGCGGAATTCACACATTCTGGTCTCAGTCCAATGGTTTCACTCTCTAAGAACAACAAAGAATCGCCATTTCCATGAAAATTTTCCACCTTGATGCTATGCAGAAAGAGGAAAAAACGTGAAATGAATCAGTTGATCTTGTTTCTACATCTGTTCTTCCCCCATTTGCCTCTTTTCAATTCCATTTGTCAAATTCACAAGCAGTGTGTATATAATTTTGCCAATATGGGTTTCTTGAATCTGAGCAGATTCGAATTAAATTTACCTTTTTTTTTTTACCACAAAAGTATTCAAATTCAATCATACCAAAGAAAACCCATGTTTTCACTAATTTCTAGTTTTAGACCTAATTGAGAGAAACTGGGTATAAAAAGAATCGGGAAATTTAATTTACCAACTCTCCATGAGGACTTTGTCTTGGTTCATGAGACAGAGAGCGGCGATAGAGACGCCATCCTCGTTCTTGGTCAAGTACTTGCAGACAGGGCCAAGACCGTACAGCCGCTCGACGCCGCCGGAGGAGAGTGTACGGACGGAGCAAGTGAGGATGGAGTAAGAAGCCAGGAGGCGGAGGATTCGGTCGAGCATGACGGGAGCATCTGGGTTCTTTGTCGGAAGGTGAGAAGCTATGTCAGACGGCGACATTTGGGCGGAGAAACCGGCGTTCTTCGCCATGATCTCGAGAAGGTCGAGCTCGATGGCCGATTTCAGAACCATTGGCAACACGGAAGCGCTCGCCAGCTGCATCGCGAAGAGGTTCGCTTCGTCGTCGGAGACTTGGTTCGGCGTTATCTGCGTCTCCGCCGTTGAACCCATTTTTTTAATTTTATTTATGTCTGTGTGTGTTTCTGTGTAGTTTCAGATTTGTCTTAGTGGGGATTGGGATTTGTTATTTATAGAAAGAAGGTACCTTTTTTTTTTTCTTCATAAACTCACATGGAAATTCAATATATATTTTTAATTATTATGTGTGCATAATACTAATGCCCTTTTTTTGTTTATAATGAAATTAGACTATTTTAGGATATTTAAAAAACTATTTGATTGTATATTTCATTTTCTAATAAAAGTATAAAATAATAAATTAATTACATAACAATAGTCCAAGGAAGATATGAGATAGGTTGGTGAGTGGGACCCAGAAGCTCTTTAAAATTAATGACTTCAATCATTTCACTTTTGCTTAATCATTTACATTTCTTCAAAATTAAAATTCTATGATTATCACTTACATTAATCAAATTCTGTTTAAGATGTTTGGTTTCCATTTGACTTAAATCATAACATCTCTTGCTATGATAGTCCAATTACAGAAATTTATACATATACATACATATATATATACACACAAACACATCAAGGAAGAAGTCTTTTTCTTGGGATATCACCATATGCAATAAAAATATCATTGTCTTCTATGCCATGAGCCCTACTCCATAACGTTGATTTGATTAATTTAGAAATCTTATACCATCTCAATTACCACATAAATTAAAGGTGGAAAATTCGAAAAATGTTTTGACACGTGTAGCGTTGTGATTGGGTGGTGCATGAGCCTATTTCAACGAACGAAGCATCCCCCCACCTACCCTCTTCGAAAGCAGCGTGGGAACAAATGTGGACACGGTCCCAACACCACACACGCGACACACTCTCTCAAATAATTTGGTTATTTGATTCTTGGGAAGTAAATATTTTAACTTATATCTGTGTCTGTATTATTTGTTTTATAATTTATTGTTCTATCTTTATAAACAAATAATATTTAAATTTTAAATGGGTTTGTTTAATACAATTTATATTTGGTAAACCGATTGTATTTTTATATTAAAATATTAAAATGGATGGGGTATTAGTAGTCTGCTTAGTGAATTGAAATTGTAAAATTGTATGATCTTAAGTTAACGACAGACTTCCACCAGCCACTCTATATGATAATTCAATTTCGACGTTTGTATAATAAAGAAAATACCGAGGGATTTATTCTCAATTATTTATATGGAATCTAAACCACATCAATAATATTCATTTTTTAAAAAAAGTCCTACCTACTACCGTGTTGCGTGAAACATCGCAATCCACCAACTTTAATTGCATATTTACAAACGAAGATAATAATTATAATTGTACAAAAAACCCAACAAATTTATTACCACGGGAAAAACAAGATGGTGTCGTGTCCTTTCGGTAAGTGATCGACAGAAGATAGAACGAGTTGTGTATACGTGCATATAAATTTACATAATAAATATGGAATTCAATGCAATCGTACGTAACGTGCATGCATGCAGAATACAACGTTAAAGAGGGTGAGAACGTAATTGTTTAATTAGTAAAGCTCCAAATCGTATGCATTCAATTACTCAGATAATATATATATAAATAAATTCCCGAGTTATACGTACGTAGCACAATAAATTTGACTAGTTGCGGGGATAGACAAATAGCGAGGGTCTTGTAAATCAGAATTGATTCATTAACTGTCTTTTCACTATATTTTTTACTTTCGATTGATTGGTTTATTTATTTTTTAGAATCTTCTGATATTAGACTTTGAATTTATTTTTGAATGTTTGGTAGGTTTGAGGAAAATGGTCAGAAAAAAAACGAGTTTATATTACATTAAAGTTTCTATATCATTATAAAAAATAGATAAATTATAGTATTATATAAACTCTTTGTAATTCGTCGCACCATAATCACATAAATGTTGACTAAAATACTAAATTACGCAGTGAAAGACAAAAATAGACACCATTTATGTCTATTCAAAGTCTATTAAATATTAATATAGTTAGTCAAGCTTATTACTTTTGCAACCATTACTTTTTGAAAAACAGGGGAAAGAAAAACAGGTTGAAATTCTAGAAGAACACATAATGGGCTTTAAATTACTCGTATAATAATTCAAAAATAGCCGAGATCGAAGTTTTGAATATTAATTGGGCTCCAGCTTATGACCAGTAAAGGCCCATTATATGCTTTAATGGGCTCTTATTGGGCTTGTTAATTGCATTCTCGACGTGTTATCCCAGAAACCAGATTTATATAAATCACCGCTGCAACAGGAAGATCAATGGCCACTCTGCGTTCGAACTGACCAGTGGCGGAAGGCAAAAACAATGGCGGAGCCAAAGATGGTGATTATCGAGATTTCTCCAGATTCCTTGGAAGAGACAAAGACAAAGAGGAAAGGTTTTACAGTGAAGGAAGAAGAAGAGGAGGAGACACCCGTCAGAGCAGTGTTCTGTCTGAATTCCAGACACGATATGAAGCGTTACGAGGAAACGGAGGATTGCTTCATCCTCGATTTCGATCCTTTCGAGGCATTGGAGGTTCGTAAGCTCTCCTTCTCCGACGATCGGCCCGACAATCAGGATGATGATGACTTGACTATCATCCACGAGAAAGGCCAGGTTTGAGGGTTTTCTTTTTTCTTCCTTTTTATTGTGGTTTTCCTGAAAAGTTTGAGACTTTTTTGTTTTCCATTCCATGATTAGGGTTTAGGGTTTTGTTTCTCTGGTATGATTTTTTTTATATATATAAATTCGATGAAATTTGTGTAGGTGGCTTGCAGGGATTACCCACATCCAAGACATCTATGTGTCAAATTTCCTTTTGGAACGACCCCTCATTCAACCCACTGTCCTCTTGTAAGTTGTAAGAATATGCCTTTATCAATATGAACATGTATACGTCTCTGTGTATCAATCCGAAGGCCTTTTCAGATTCTTTCTGTTTTGTCTGTATGATCATGCCCTGTTTTCTAGGATTTGACGGAATGCGTATTTGTGGCTTTGGATTGGATGCAGTGTTACTGTTACGTCTGTGATTCGGCTGCTCCATGTGAATCATGGAATGGTATGACACCGCATTGTGATGCTTCTGAACACAATCATGAATGGAGGCTTATTAGGGAAACGAGGAATTCAGCTACTTGCAATTGAACCTCGATTCTGTTATTTACCTCTCTCCCATGGCGGCAGCTCTTCTGATACGGTCTCCTTCAACCTCGGTTTGTTCATGGATGACTAAACTATTGTATAAACTTTTCGACCGAATGTAGAGAATGGAAGTGTAAGGTTTCAGTTCAGGTGGCTTCATAGGAGCATCTTTTGTGGTTTGAAGTAAAGATGTTCACTTGGATCCGAGACTGTTGCATGTGTCTTGCTCTGTGTATTTATATTATCTAAGGCTACCTCTTTGAACATGTCCATAATTCCGACAGTAAAGCTTTGACTGTTTGCTTGCTGTGGAGAATCAAAAAGAGACCTGGGTGATATAGGTTTCAATTCAGATCACCAAGACTCAACTGACAGTGACAGGTTCTTCCTAAAGAAGATCTGCCCTCTTTACTTCATACAAGGAAAAAAAACATCTGTGCCTTTTTTTTCTTGTTCTTGTTAATTTCTTATATCTGAAGACTGATGTGATCTGTACATTTTCTTAGTCACCCTTTTGTCTTGTTACCCGAAAGAAAGACGGGGAACAATCATGGAGGAAATTGAGAGCTAGAAGGATTGGTATCTGCTGTCTCTGCATCTGAACTTTCTTCCACCGTTTCAGTGATGAGTGTTCCTTCCTCTTCTCCTGCTACCATATGTTAAGCATGTTATGTCTTGTCTCTATGATACTATTGTTTCATGATTTGGGTGATTCGGTCCCCGTTTCTTTAACAAGTTACTTTGAACTCCAGAAGTCAATTTTTGCGTTGATCTCTGCTTAGAACTCATAAAGATGTGGCCTTTGCAACAGTTGTATTACCCATTCACATCCCCAGAATCATAAGATATAATCTTTCAAGAGAATCGTTATAGATTCACACCAAGCGCTGTAATTTATACGAATCAGATTCACATCATAGTCAGAAGGGCATGAAGAGAGGGATCTTAGAAGACAAAACTTCATCATCTCATTACAACTCCATATGCATATATTTACAGATAGTATGTTACGGTACAGAAGAACCTGAAGAAGATGGAGAGACACTGGGAAAAATCTCGACCATCTTCCTCGATGAGAAACAACAAGAGAAAGAGAATCAAGAAGACAAAAAAGTCAATGACGAATCAGAAATCGACGAGATGAGAGGAGAAATCGGGAATGGGCGACGACCCAGATCTCGATGGAGAAGGACAAGGCAGAGAGAGACCACCGATTCGGACAAAATCCCGGCGGTCGGGATGCCGGGGAAGAAGTCCGGCGGCGATTTTGGCGAGTGCCGCCGTGTACTCGCTCAGTAACTCCGCAACGATCACCACCGCCAACATTACGCAAACGACTCGCCGGAGAGGAAGAAACTAAGAAAGCGTTTTCCGTGGATTTTCCTGAATCTTGAAAAGGGTTTTCGTCGATTTGTGAATCTGAGATGGATATTCGGTCTGAGCATCGGCAATGTTCTTATAGGCGGGGGGAGAGAGAGGTGTTGACTCGTTTTCTCGCACCTTCGATGTCGTTTTCGAGAGTTTGTCTTTTTCCTTTTTTGTTATAAAAAATATATATCAGCCGCTACCGCTGCCACTGGTCCCATTGCCATCTCGTACTATTAATAATATCAATAAAAATGATAATATTATTGTTTTTACAAGGACCAAGGTAATATTCAGTGTATTGTTTCAAATATATTAATATACGTCTCCAATGGGACAAACCAACAGGCTGGAATATCTATATCTATAATCTATTTTATATTACCAATATTATAAAAAGTGAAAAAAATGTTAGATTCCTAGTATTTCATTAAAGGTGACAGCTTTGATATTTCTGGTTCCCTCTAGAGACGTCAAACTGTCTCAATAATACTTACTTCCCTTAATTTTTTTATTATTTTTCAGACATAAATTAGTTGGTTGGGTGATTTTGTGATAGAAGAATTGAAAACAAAAAGTGGAATAAATAAAATTAATTTAATATTTAAGATACTAGTGATTTGAGTTCGGGCTCATATGAACAAACGCGGAGTCTTTGCGTGTTCACACACGGCGTCTGAACGCGTCCGGCGGGTGGCGACAGCGCGTTCGTCATCGTTCATTGCTTTCTTCTCCTTCCTTGTTTACATCATCTTTTCGAGATCAATGAATGATTAAGAGTAATATTATCTATATATATATATCATATTATAGATACAAAAATATCATTAAAACGAGGTTTTTAACGAATTAAAAAAAGGCTCTGGTAATATTGGAAATGGAGTGTGGGGCAGAGAGACCGCTTGGAAAAATCTCGACCATCTTCCTCCAATCAGAGACCAAAACCTTAATCGGCGAATCAGAAATCGACGAAATGAGAGGAGAGGTCAGGAATCGTCGACGACGACGACGAAGGCAGAGGCAACGAGATCCCACCGATCCGTACGAATCTCCGGCGATCGGAATGCCGGGGAAGAATCCCGGCGGCGATCTTGGCCAGCGCCGCCGTGTACTCGCTCAATACCTCAACAATTATCACCACCGCCAGCATTATCGAAGAGTTTTTGGATCACTGAGGTGAGTTTCGATTTGTGGAAGAAGACGACAAGCAAATTCTTCGTCTTGTAGATGCTCGGAATGATTCGCCGGAGAAGAAGCTTCTAGAACAAGAAGCCGTGCGGGTGTATTAGGGGAGCATTCCTCTCTTATAGAGCACGACGTCGTATTGGCGACATTCTTTTGTTCCATTTTTTTAAAATGGTTTTTTTACCAAAAAAAAATATTGGCCACAAACAATATATTTTTCCGTTGGAGAGTTCGTATCGGAATTTTCCTTTTCTTGTTAGGTTCCATCGGTTATTAGACCCGATTTTTTATTTATTTAAATATGTAAATTAATCGACCTTCATTCTTATTTTATATAGTCCGTAAGTTGTAAATTACCGGACTCACTTTCATATATTGAAAAAAACCCACACAACATGACATCACTGAAATTGATTTTTATTTTTTTAAAGTTAAATGATTTGATCTTGGGGCATGCATCCACGTAAGCACAGATGCGGTTATGAAATGGGATCCGAGCTGTACATGTCCTCATCAACAAATTAAAACATGATTATGTGTTAATTAATATGGAGTTAATGAGACTTTGGGCTGCCAAATTCCGAACGATGAGCGGCGAATTTAAACCACTCGTCCCTGTCACCACACCACCACCACAACTAATCGTGCAAATTTAGGTTCGAAAATATAAAATCGGATTTAATATCCGAATAATATCTAACTCTACATCTCAATTATTTTCCAACTACACATCATTAAATATAACTTTCTTAAACGAATTTCAAAGATATTCAAATCGAAATCAAACCGTGTATGAAAATAGTAACAAATGTAAAAAAAAAAAAAAAAAAAAATTGATAGAAAACAAATACCCAATAACCATCACGATTCCTACTGTATATGTCTGCTCTAACCAATTAATTTCATATATTAATTCGCGACTTTTTATATTCATATACATGTACACGATATACACACATATATATATACATGCAAATACAGATGCATATGGATGTTTTGAATTGGAGAGGCAGATTTTGTGAAATCAGATGAGAAAGACGTATTGGAATTGTAAAATGGGCAATTGTCTCTTGTTTATTGCAAGGTCGGTGTCCCTTATAGGCCTTGGCCTACGTAATTTGATGTGTGCATGTGTCCCATGCAATTTGCTTACCATTGCTTTTGACGCGGCCGGTATTACTCCCACCACAAAAATCGTACACCATATACCAAATTATAAAATTATTTTAACTTTTGGTTCGTTTAAATTTACCAAAAAAAAATTAACTTTGGTTCGTTAATAATTCAGATTTTGATCTTTTCCGCTCGAACCGTATAAAAACATTTGAAATAGCCCACAGCATACAAATAAAAAAGTAATCCAATTCGTTTAGATCCCAGATATATGTTGCACCTCGTAGGTCATATATATGTCAATCATTATATTACATTAATAATGTAATACATATGCATATATATATATATATATATATATATATAGGTGATGAATTTGAATATATATCCATCAATTAGTAAACGAAATGATTGGTGGTGGTGAATATTCGCTATTGATATTTCATTGTCTTTGAATATGTGTGTTCGTAAGCAAGTTTCGAAAACTCGACAAGGGCACCAATCAACCTCAATGATCATCGTATGATCATAATCCACAAATAATAATAATAATAATAATAATAATAATAATAATAATAATAATAATAATAATAATAATAATAATAATAATAATAATAATAATAATAATAATAATAATAATAATAATAATAATCGGGCATTTAGCTTTATCAAAAAAAAATCGGTTAACAAAAAAAAAATAATCGGGCATTTAGGGTTTGGAATTTTTTTTTTCAACCGAACTCGTCATCGTGTGTGGGTGGTAAATGACCAGCAAGGCCATTATTCAATCAAACTTTTTGGTCCGGCCAATGAATATTTATTTTGTTATTATCCATGTGATAATATATTTTATATTTGCACAAATCTTGCAGAAAGCATCGTTTCATCTGCATAATTGAAGGTATACAATACAACTACGTTTGTTGGCATCCATTATTTCACGAATATCAACTCACACACACACATATATATATGTATATCGTTTTTTTTTTCATTCCTGTGGTTGCAGCAAATTTATTGAAAGATACAATATTGTTCCATTACAAAACAAAAATTATCAAATTCCAACCGATAAAACTAAAAAATCGAGATAAACTCGTTGAAATAATTCCATTGGAAATATTTCAACAATTATCAACGGTTGTATCCATTGAAAATTGTAACAGATATATCCGTCAAAATTTTTAATAGAAATCCAGAAATGGTGGTGCGGTGGTGTGTGAGCACAAAGTGTTTTCCATGTCCAGGGTTCGAATCCCACGGACACCATCAATTATAAAAAAAATTCAATAGAAACCCACTTATATAGTTCAACATACATTTCAACGAAAAATCCGTTGTAATATCAACCGTTTTCGACTGAATAATCCGTTGAAAATAAAATACAATAAATATCCGTTGAATATTTTTGTTGAAAATTTCAAGGCCTTTAATTATTAAAAAAAATGGTTATAGCTATTTAGACACTTATCACTTGTAATAGTATATGTTAAAAAAAATACAATGTAAAATCCTATGTTCGTTATGCGCCCATAGTCTCTTTTATATCCACAACGTGGGTGCAATTAGCTCATCGACCAAGTGGAAAACCAAAACATCATTCTCTGTCTCTTCACTTGGGGATGTTTGGAAAAATTAAACGACCCTCTTAATCAAACTGTTATAATTAACACATCAAATAATTTTCTAAATACGATAGCGTATAAAATAAACTATTGCGTTTTCCTTTTTCTTTTTTCTTTTTTTTTTAAAATGTGTTGCGTCTGACTATTCGAATTTACGACTCCAATATTTTAATGTGAGATAAATAAATATGATAGAAAAAAGTTATTTTTTCTGATATATTTAATGTGGTTAGTCCAACTACTGTAAATAAATAAAATGCCACTCACCCCTTAATTGTAACACAAGTAGCAATTAAAAAAAAAAGGTACGGGCTCGCTCTAATGTCTTTTTCAAAGAATTACGATACTATACAACTGTTAAAAACTTTGAATTTTTTTTTTTTAAATTCCGAGGGTAAAATATGATAGAAAAAATATAAGTAATAAAAGCTAAGTTTTAGATACTATATATTTTCTGATATTAAAAAAGTAGATTTGATTTAAAAAAAATATGAAAAGATATTTTGGATTCCGTAATTAATTTCATTAATGGCATCGTTTTAAAAAAATTGCTTTAAAATTGCTTTGTCCATAATTAAAGTGAGTGACCATGAGAGCTTTCTTAGGATTTCATTCAAGTATGGCATTTTAATCCGTAATCTGGAGGTTTGGATATACCCGACTTAACAAGTACCTGAATATTAACGATGATGAGATCAAATATTAACGAGACTAAGTTTTCGACCTCCGAGTTCGAATTCGGATTTTAATTATTTTATAACGATATCTGGGATACCCGGTATATTTGTTAAAAATCTAAAATATCTTTTATATTTATAATATTTATCTAAGTCATTCTTATTATTTACTAAAATACTTTTATTTAGTTATTTTTTATTTTCTAAACATTTTTATCTAAAAATTCTATCATTCCAAATTCTTTTTTTTTTCTATACAAACGAATCAACCATTCATATTTCTCTCAAACTCTCACTCATCTCTCTTCATCATGAACTTTACTCTTTATATTTTGATCATTTTTTTCGAGTATCCGTAAATATAAGAACGAGAATCACATTAAAACCGAGTAACAAGTTCCTGAATTTTATGAAGTCAATAATGAAAATAATATTTTTGTAAAATATACAGAGTTTTCTAAAAATTGGATACGCCATCTATGTCCACAGCTACCTTCAAGAGCAAGGTGTTTCCATTACAAATGTGTTGGAGAAATATGGTTAATCTAATCTCTTGATGTTGAAATCTTTATGTTCATAATTAACGAAATGGACCGTACTCGTATTTCAAAATCCAATTTCATGTTCGTGGATCATTCGCCGGAAAAATGTGATCGCATCAGCAACGATTAAACCTCGGGAATCTGATATATATATATATATATATATATATATATATATATATTATATAATTAATTTCTTACAGATTTACAAAAAAAAACGGAGAGACACTCGGGGAAAAATCTCAACCGTGCTAAGCGATGAGATCAGAGATTGACGAGATGAGAGGAGAAATCGGGAATCGTCGACGACCCACTAGGACAAGGCAGAGTCAACGTCAAACCCCCGATCCGTACGGAACTCCGGCGGTCGGGACGTCGGGGAAGAAGCCCAGCGGCGATCTTGGCCAGCGCCGCCGTGTACTCGCCCAGTAACTCAGCAATGACGACCACCGATAACATCGTCACTCGACTCAGTGCTCTTCCCTCTCGCCGGAAAAGGAAAACGGAGATTTCTGGGTTTGTCGGAATCTCGAACTGGGGATTTGGGATCTGCCACTTAATTTGTTTTTTTAATATTTAATTCTTTGTGTGATTGCGAGAAATCATGGAAGGGAGAGTGCTCTTCTTATAGGCAGAGTGTCGTGGCGAGTTGACCGTACGAGTAGTGGCAGTTTTTCTCGTCCGTGTTTCTTTGTTTTTTTAATCACTCGCATCTCACGCCCAGTTCACACGCTCTGTTTTTTTTTATAATATAAGAAAAAAAAATGATAAATATGAACTGTCAGATTTTTTTTTGTCAACTACAATATCTATCATATATATATATATGTAATGATATCATTCCTAAACGATGTAGACATAAAAAATAATAATAATTAAATAGAAAATAAATTTTTATGAGTTTGAGGCTGGAAATCTCTTGAATGATTTAAATCATAATTTAATATTCTTTTTAATATTCAAACCCAAGTGTAGGAGTTAAATATGTGGCGTCCATGAGTATAGAGGTATTGGTCCTTATATTTGGAAATAAATAATTAATGATTTTTATGGATTTTAAACGCATCTTATTTTAGTAAATTGAGAAAACTTGAAAATTTATGCAATTAATATGGATAAGTGAGCGGCAGTACTTTTACAGTTTTATGGAATAATTCATACAAAATATTATGTATTTGATACCTCCATTTTTGCCCTATGTTTTAACTTTGTAATTAAAAAAACTTATACTAAAAATAGATGCAAAAAACAATAAAATGTAAAGTTTTAAGATTTAGAAAATAATATTTTATAACTTATTTTGAATTTTTATATGAATTTATAAAACATTATTAGAAAATTTGTTATATTTGAAACTGAAAAATTTATTAATGCCGAATTTTTAATTGTGATCTGGAATCTACACTCTAATAACAAAATATTTCAACTCAATTTAAACTCTTTTAAAAAAATCAATCAAATAACTCTTTTTTTGTGTGTGTTGTTCAATAATAATAAGACCGTATTCATTTCATAAATTCATTCACAGAGTATATAATAAACAATAAATATCTTTTTTAAAAATGAACGAGAAGTTGTGTGGTTTGTTTTTTAATCTATCAAGGATTGGAATCCGAATCATGTGCAAGATTTTGTTCGCTCCTAACTCATTTGAAAATTTCTTAGTATGATTAGGCTTTACGATATGTCTGACCATGGATATCCGTTTACATGTAGGCCGACGTTATATAATCATAGATTATACATATTTTATCATTGATATTAGATTAAGAGATACACCTATGAGTTGTAACAATCTTAAATAAATATAACAATTTATTGCCGAGCTCTATCGGGAAATGCGATATGGTGTGTGTAACATGACCAGTTTCGATTGTCTTTTAAACGACTATATTTAGATTTAATATTTTTTATTTTATATAATTATATTTATTCAATTTTTATATTTTTTCATTTTTACATTTAATTTCGATTAAATTAATTTAATTTAAAATATTATATTATCGGAAATTGTTAAGAGTTTTACTTTATATGCAGTTTGGATATATTTTCTTTGGATTTATATTTTTTTTATGATATAAGGATATGAATTAAGAATTGTAGTGAACTAAATTACATTATCATTAATATATAATGCATTATTCCATAAATTTTGACATATATATATATATGTAACTGTTATTTACATAAAATTAAATAAAAAAAATACAATAAATGGTGTTTATTGCGATTCCATTTTATATAAAACAAAGGGAAAGATATGAACAAGATTTTCGGTGTCCCCTCGCACTTTCACTTTCCAACCAACGAGGCAAAGATTAACGAAACAGTGAAAAGAAAGTCTCAACTGTAGCAAAGACTTTGGTGATATAAAATGTTAGAGATTGTTGATTAGAGATTGCTAATTGACATCATTACCAAAAAAAAGGGACTCTAAATCTGTACATCGACAGATCCAATGCGGGGCACGTGATCCTAATTTAGGAAATTAATAATTCAAGACGTAACCCACAAGGAATGGGGCCTCGAGATGAAGACCTTTTTTTCATGGCTTTCCAAATAAATGAAAAGCTTCTCATGAGTAACAACTAAGGTTTGAACATTCAAGCCTTTCAAGTCTTAGATAGTTATTATTAATTAATTAAACGAGTTTAAATAGAAAATAAAACGTACTAGTGTAAATTTTCTATAATTTAAAAATATGGCGATTTCGCCTCAAGACCTTTTGTATGCTTGTGATTTGTGATTTATTGAATATTGTTTTTCAAATAATTAGATATCATGGGTCGAAACTTTCACCAATTGAATTATCCAAATTTAAATGATTTGTTGGATCTTTTCCATACCGTAAATAACCTTTCTTTTGGGGAGCAGTCCATCTTTACGGAATAGATTCCTATTTAATAGCAAAGAATGATCGTGTTATTTATCATTCTTGTGACAAATTAAATTTGTCCTATATATGGTCCTGTACATGTGGTGTAGTCGTTATCATCCAATCTCTACATACATTTATGTATGGACCATATATTATACTGTGTAACATCGTAATACGTGTTTAGAACCTTCAAGAAGGTAGAGGAAAGAGCCTTCGAGACTCTTTGTTCGCCCACATCTATTTGATTATCCGCCATTCTGCCCCACTCAGCCATGCACAGAATGTATATCCACATTAGTTTTCCATTTTTTTTGCCATCTTTATAATTAGATATGCAAATTTCCACAAGATTATCTATATTATAATTTATACATACTATGATATTATTACTGATTTCTTCTTCTTATTATTCTTCTTATTACTGATTTTGTTAAATATAAGTGATATTGATTATAGCTTATGAATGATTTTGTTATATTTTATTGTTGTTTTCGAAGATGAAAGTGAAGTTCATCTACAATTAAAATAGATTGTGTTTGGTATTGAAGTTTTTCCATTTACAGTTAAATTTTTTGGATTTGTTTATGTGAATCATATTAAAATTTCTAAACTTATAAAATGGTAGAAAACTGATTCCTAATTTTTCGTTTAACAAATTTATTCCCGAACTTGTAAAATATCTTATTATAATTCTCAAACTTATAAGATGTTGTAATTTTTATTTTACAAATTCAGAAATTTTAATAGAATTTATCCTATTAATTTTATAAATTGTAAATAAATATAAATAAAAAATATTATATGTTTATGATTCAACGAATTTAGCCAAGATTTTTCTGATTCATTAGAAAAACGAACTTGGCGAGTTGAGTCTAAAACGAGGCGGCTCATGACGAGTGGAGACCAACCAAGTCGAGTTGGTTCATTTGACACCCCTCATATATACCCAACCGATCTAAGCTATACTCTATAAACCTGCTTTTATAAGATTATTATTATCGGTTACTTAATCTAAACACAAGATTAAAGGTGGGTTATTTGCTATATACGTACATATATATATATATATACATCTATATATATATTCATCTAAAAAATCCATTTTCTTGAAAGATTTTTTTTAATGTTTTTGTTCAAGAGCTGTGACGGGGGAAACTTCTTTTTCATGAACAGCAATGTTCATACGGTGTTGGACACGCAAGGAGACACATTGACGAGGCACTGATCTCGTCATTACCACACTTTCTCCGTACGAGATTTTGTCGGACAGCATCTCACGAGAAGTCAGAAGCCCCACCACGTGAAAACTCCATCGGTGGACCAGTTCCAAAGCCAAACCCTTTCTCATCATTTGATTTTTCACCCCAGAGTGAAAAGTTACAAGAACAGGAGAGAAATGAACGCCGAGAGTTAACATAACAAGCTAAGACTTCTCCACAGTTCTTCAGCGTAAAACCTCAGTTCGATTCTGATGATCTTGCAGATAAATATCTGCGAGAGCAGCGTACAATGCCGATCCCGTGGGAAGAACATCCTCGTCCAGGAAGAAGTGAGGCGAGTGAAGGGAATGTATCGCCCCGATTTCTTCGTTCTTGATGCCGATACTGATAAAGTAACCCGGTATCCGTGCTTGGTAGAAGGCGAAATCTTCTCCTGCCATTACCTTCTTCCCCGGTTTCACCTTCTCGGGTCCAACCAGAAGTTTCGAGACCTTGTTCGCGTGCTCGTGTAGCCTTTTGTCGTTAACTACCGCAGGATATGGTGTACGCTCTTTCTCGAGCAGATCTACATGTGTGTTACATCTATGCACGGCAGCTTGCCCTTCAACAACCTGTTAATTGATCTCTAAATAATTAAACTTTTTTGTATATTTAGGACGGGATCAAGAAATTCCATATCTTGTAAAGCCGATGAACGTTGTTATACCAATAGGTTCTCTCGGCACCAGCTTTATAGAACAGAGAAAGTAGAAACGAGAAGCATGAAACTCCGAAACTTTTGAACAGATCAGTTTGACGTTCGAAGGAAAAAAAAAGATATACGATCAAGAAATTCCCGATGCTGCATACCTCTTTCAACCTGAGCTTCAACCAGTTCAAGCCATCGGTCGTAAGACTCCTCAAAGTTCCTCCAAATTCGACATATGCCGGGTCTGTATCGAGCTTGGTAGCCCCTTTTACAAAAGTAACAGACAGCACCTAACATCAAAAAACGAAAACATTTTAGATGATATACATATGTCATATTCGGTATATATATATACACAGCGGTAAAACCATTTATCGTGGGGTCTGAGGTCGCAGGTTCGAATCCACCTCTCTACATTAAAATGTAGGGGTAATGTGGCCTAATACATTCCCTTCCCCAACACCCCACTAGATGGGGATACGAAGTGGGTTGGTCCTTTTTTTTACACACATCATAAGCAGATCAACTTGTATATAAAATATAACATACGTGGCTAAGGAGGGGATCGGCTTCTCTGGAGATGAGATTCTGCAAAGCTAAGATGGTAGATGATGCGGCCAAGACCGGATCGACATGAGAATAGGAATCAGAAGAAGGCGAAGATTTTCCATGGATTGTGATTCTGAAAGCGGTAGTAGCTGCTAAGGCAGGGCCCGAGATTGTACTTATTTCTCCCGTAGGTTCCTCGGGGTTGATGTGCATACCAAATATTGCTTCAGCTTCACCGAGGGCACCCTCTTTCACCATGTCAAGAGCCCCCGCTCCACCCTCTTCGGCTGGTTGGAAAAGAAGTCTCACCGTCCCCTGAAAAAAGAAATCCGTTCAGCATTTCAGAAAATTTTGATTCACAAACCTAAAACATAAAGTATCAATCAGAACATAATGGACCGAAAGCATTAACATTACAGAACAGTGCAAGGGTCTTTCTTTTCTAGCTAACAACAAACCCTTTTCTAAGATCTGCGAGATCTATTACATAAACTAATCCCACCAATCCAGAACATGTACTTTGTTGGTCTTGTCGCATAAGAAGAACACATAATCACAAAAAAAAAAACTTACATTGAGTAAATGCTTGCGTTTATTGAGCAATTTAGCAGCTCCGAGGAGCATGGTAGTGTGCGAATCATGCCCACAAGCATGCATTTTTCCGGCGATTTTGCTCTTATGATCCCATTCAACCAGTTCCTGCACATTGCCAACAGCAATGGAATCAACAGACTCAAAACAAAAAAGGCAACAACACAGATATTGAGTTTACTTCCAAGGGAAGCGCGTCCATGTCGGCCCGAAGAGCCACAACCGGCCGAGAACCCGACCCGATTTCAGCCACAATACCCGTTTTGGCAACCGGGTAAGTGTACGGAACTCCCAGTTCGTCAAGTTGTCGGCGAATCAGCGCGCTTGTCTCGTGTAACTCGAAGAGCAGCTCGGGATTCTCATGGATTCGTCTTCTCACGGATACCAACCAGTCTTTGTCGGACCAAGCTTCGCTTAACAACTCACGGGCATAACCTTGATCGCCATGGACGGAAGCAGTAGCTAGGACAAAGCAGAAGAGCAGAAGTGAGAGAGGTACATATGGAGCAATCGAGCGAGTACCCATCTCGATTCCGATCAAGAAAACCCTAAAACCCGAATCCCGACAAGAGATTCCACGATTCTGTCGTTGCTGGTAGCGGCGGAGCAAACATATGCTCCGGGCGTGAGACTTGTTTCCGTCCTATCCAAAGGAGTTTGACTTTTTGACTCCCACTTTTGGCTCAGAAAGCTTAGTAATTTATTTTTGCATTTTCTGGTTAGTAATGGAATAAATAAAACGATTTCAAATTAAATACATTGAATCAGTAGCAATGAAATAAAAAGAATATGAAAATGACTTACCAAAATGTTATAACGTACCCAAACAAATTTAAGTAATGATAGTAATAAACAATTAGCAAACGATAGTCTGTGCATGTTGGGCTTTGGCCCATTAATATGTGTTACTTGTTATTACTCGCTCCTACAAATGGGCTGAAAAGCCCATTAATATTTTCGTGAGCCTCACGTTGACGACGTGAACAACCGAACTAAGTCTTGGATCTTTCAGAGGTTTCTCCATTTGCCTTGGGGTTTTTGCCTTCTTCACTGTTTCAGGGTTCCAATTCCAAGATGAACCATCTCGTCCGTACCAAATCCGTCGGCTCGGTCGCCGTCAGGTCTCTCCGATACCTCCGCCAATCTTCCGATGCCGCTCCGTCACCGGTCTTCTCATCCTCGTTCGCCGCCGTCCGCCGCTTCAGCTCTGGAGGTTATCCCTTTAACAACAGGTTATTCCCATTTTCGATTTTTTCTTTTTGCTCCGTGAAATCTGTTGGATTGTCTGTTTGCATTTGTGAATCGAGCTAGGAACTAGGATTTTGATATACTGATTGACGTATTAATGTATGGGGTGATTCGTGAATGTTGTGTAGTTTCCAGATAACGCCACCGGTGAACTGGGGGGTCCGGATTGTGCCGGAGAGAAAGGCATACGTGATCGAACGGTTTGGGAAGTACGTGAAAACGTTGCCGTCGGGGATTCACTTCCTCATTCCCCTCGTGGATCGCATTGCTTACGTCCATTCTCTCAAGGAAGAAGCCATTCCGATTCCGAACCAGACTGCCATCACGAAAGATAATGTTAGCATCCACATTGACGGTGTTCTCTATGTTAAGGTCGTATTCCCTCCTTTCTCTGAACCAGTTGCTCGGTGGCCACTGTTTGTCTGTACTGATTTTTTCCATTGATATTGGCTTCTTGCAGATAGTGGATCCTAAATTGGCTTCCTATGGGGTTGAGAATCCTATATATGCGGTCGTACAGCTAGCTCAGACTACAATGCGTAGTGAGCTTGGTAAAATCACGCTTGACAAGACTTTTGAAGAAAGGGACACTCTTAATGAGAAGATAGTGGTTTGTTCTCCGCGCTTTTTCCTTTCCATTTAAAGTTTGATGACTCAGATTTCTCTTTTAAATTACACACCATATGCTCTCTCGCTTTCGTGTTTAAGAATTGATAAACCCATAATACTTCAATGTTTTGGTTAGTACTGTTTGTTGGTGTTTTCTCCCTACTTAGGTCTGTGGCTCAATCGGTTAGTTGTTTTCATTGCCTAGTTTCCGACAACGAGTTTTGGTTCTACTTTATTTGAACTGGTAAAACTTTGTTATATTTAAGCTTTTCTTTTGGGTATCTAGTCATCGTAGATTTGCTGGATATCAGAAGTTGAGTTGTGTTGGTTCCAAATCTCAAACCATGAAAGAGAAAAAGAGATGATGGATATTTTGATGCGAGGTCATTCTTGCAGGAAGCAATCAATGTTGCTGCAAAAGATTGGGGGCTTCAGTGTCTACGATATGAGATAAGTGAGTCACTTTGTAATTTCTCTCCATAACTTTTTGTTCCCTCGTACCTTGTGTGTAAATGGATGCCGTTTTTTGCCCGTTCTGATTGATGTATTTTTAGGGGATATTATGCCCCCTCATGGAGTTAGGGCTGCTATGGAAATGCAGGCTGAAGCTGAACGTAAAAAGAGAGCCCAGATCCTTGAATCTGAAGGTAATTCTGTCCATCAGTTGTTTAAGTTTTTCTTGAAAATGGGAACTCTCTGAGGTTGGAGTGTATACTTGTTGTTTAAGTTGTTCATATTCAAGATATCCTTGGTTGTTACTTCCAAAGTTTTCTGTTTCTGTTTCTTTCTTGTATTTGGATAACCATAACGCAATTTATATGTATGTAATAATGGTCTTACCCATGTTTAACAGGAGAGAGGCAAGCCAATATCAATATTGCAGATGGTAAGAAAAATGCTGTAATCCTGGAATCAGAAGCTGCAAAGATGGACCAGGTCAATCGAGCGCTAGGTTAGTGAGCAATTAAGATTGACAAGGAGAACTGAGTTTATTAACAAGTGACAGCTAGTTTCAGTCTTAATGCTTTACATGGTCGGAGCTATTTCATGGTTTCTTTATATATATTATCCTTTTGTTTTCAGGTGAAGCAGAAGCAATATTGGCTAAAGCACAAGCAACTGCCAAGGGGCTTGCATTGCTATCCGGCTCCCTCAAGGCAACAGGGGGAGTAGAGGTGAGTTTCACACAAATTTCTAATTGTTTCCTTATCGTTTATTTCTTCAACTCTACCTGGTTTTATTTCAACAACCAATACATTCGGTCTACTACTAAAATGCTACTTCCAAAAGTCCTCTCTAGATAACGCTCCTGTAGCTTCTTACCCATTATTAGATGCGTTTGTTTTTAATTGTGGCACTGATTCTAATTTGTTAAGTTTTGCTCATCAAAATGCGGGTTTATGTTTCATCGTGGTGCAATTTTTCAGGCAGCCAGCCTAAGAGTTGCAGAGCAATACATTACTGCCTTCGGCAACATTGCCAAGGAGGTAAACAATTATTATTTAATATTTATAGCACATACCGATTCGAGTATAGTATATCATCCCTTGCATCTATCTTGCATGTCTCATTATAATAACCACTTCTCTTAGATTATCAGATTTTTTCTAATCCATGGTATTTTCGGTTAGGGGACAACACTGTTGCTTCCGAGTACTGCTGCCAACCCTGCTAACATGATTGCACAAGCTTTAACGATGTACAAAAGCCTCGTCAACAATGGTACCAATGGCAGCTACCAGGAAAGCGCAATGGTAGAATCCTCGGGGGACATTGTCGACAAACATTCACCCGAAGAATCTAAGAACCAAGGCTCATCCACTAGAGGATTAGCTAAACCAGACCACCTTGGGGAATCGCAATTCTCTCTTCAACGTCCCTCGAAGGAGGAGCCGTGGTAGCCGAACAAGGGAATAATGATTCATTTATGCAGGTAAAAAGAAAAAAGAAAGAAACCGGGAGCCTTTTCCCAATGTAAGACTCAAAACTTTTCTTTGCCAAGAGCTTTTTGAACATTGCCATTCTGCAAATCGAGCTCCAACTTTCGTCAGGTATATGGTCTGAAACATTGTCTTTTGCTCTTGCACTCCTTAATTCCGCTGCATGGCATATGATAATCGGGCGGTACATAATGAATCGATATTTGGACCGCTTTGGTTCATTGATCGTGTTATATATTGTATTCCACGGATGATGATCTGAAGTTCCGGATTAGGGCCTTCGGTTCAATTTGATATTATTTCTCTAACCGGTCTTGACGGTAGCAAAGGTTTACAAGAAGATCCTCCAAAGAGAAAGCAGAGACAATGGAAGAAGAATGAATGGTGGAGCTTATGTCAGAGAAAATGAGAAGACCAGGTTGTCTCCAATGGGGATGTTTGGGGACATTACCAAACTTACCATGAATAGAATAGCCTCTGTCCTCTCTCCGACGTTTTGTTATTTAAACCTCCTCTTTGCCATCTTCTGCATTCGCTCAGCCTCTTCGAATAAAATATACACAGAGAAAGATCTTTTAACGACAGGCCCCTTCGCCCCACAGCTCGTCCCATTTTCGTCGCATTTTTCTTAAAACCTTTCGAAACCGAAACCATGGGAGGCTGTGCGAGCAAACCTAAGGAGTCTGACATCGTCACTGAATCCGCCCCTGCTGATCCTCCTGTTGAGGCCAAAAACGTTGAGACCGAGGCCGTTCCCGAGGTTTTACGGATCTCTCTACCTAACGATCCGATTGCTTTTTTTCCTTTTTTACCATCGTCATATAAGGGTAGACAGGGGTTCGGTATTTTTAAAAAAATATTCAAAGTTGCCTATACCGATAACCTTGTGTCTTGAATTTCATAATTTGATATCCATACTCTTATTCGTAGATTTCAAATATCCAAATTATGGATATCTAATAAAATATTCGGATGCGTAGGGGTAATGGGTTATCCATAGGAGACATTGTTAGAGTTCCACATCAGTTTTAAATCGGTTTCAGAGAAGGATTTGGGACCAATATATAAGTTGGAGTCAATCTTCCACTCATAAGCTCCAAATCCCTCTCTGAAACCGATATGGGAGTCTAACAGATGTGTACTCTTTCGTCCGTCCCCACTCCTCTCGTCATGAAGGAACATATATTCTTTGTCCATCGGATACAACATTTGGGGCAATACAATAGCGATTTGGAATAGCTTATCTTATATATAATAGGAAATGTTTTGGAATCGTTTCGGTTTTGAGTTAGTTCAAAACCGAAATGAGTGGAAACGAATAACTCATACAGTCGACCCCAAATAATTTGAGAATAAAGCGTTAGTGATGTTGATGTTTGTTTTGGCGAAATGGCAGGAGAAGGGAGAGGAAGCTGTTGCTGAGAAGAAAGAGGATGAAGCTGAGGCCAAGGAAGAGGAAGCAGCCAAGCCTGAAGAAGTGAACGTGGAATCCACTGAGCCACCCAAAGACGATGCACCTCTCGTCACTCTCTGATTCTCATTTCTTTCTAAACATTTCTTGTATGTGTATGCCCATCGTGTCGTATCGCCATTTATAAAGTATGTGATTTTTATGATTAAAACAATTGTGGATCTCTCTTTCAAACTCCATAAAGCGTGTGCAAATGCCACGTCTTCAATCTATCTATTCACCCCAACACTAGTACGAGGTGAAATAAAACATGACAGAATCATTGCAGATTTTGCGGACCGTATCTTTGGAATGTGTCATAAGACTAATTTGAGGGCATGGCTTCAAAAAGAAAAAAAAAACAAATCTTTGATGGGATTAAAGGCAGAGTCTTTGTAAAACAAGGGATCTAAAAATATGAAATGGTGAAGCTTTTTTTTTTTTTTTTTTTTTTTTTTTTTTTTTGTTTTTTTTTTTTGCAGGTGCGAAGTAGTGGATATGTTACTTTTGGATGGGTTACCTCTTTATTGCATATATTCTTACAGGTAAGCCTCTTACAAAGTACATCACTATCTATCCATATATACACAAACAAATTATTGCATCAACATTATGTATAAAACAAGATTCAGACAAAAGACTTGTGTTCCACACTCACAGTGCTTTCCCCTGTTTGTGTACACCGTCATCGGTTACCTCATCATCGATGCCTAGGCGTGAGAAATGGGACTTGAGGCCGATCCAGCATTGGTAATAGTCATGGTCCAGGACCGGCGACTCGAGCGCCCAGTTGCAGACTCTGGGGATCAACGATGACTCGAACATGAACGCCATTGTATCGGTTATCTTAGAAGGAACCATCTCGTTTGCTCGAGCAATTGTAGCCTAACTCCTCGAAAAAGGTTGTTAACGTCTCATCAGATTACAATGGCAAGCTTTAGATGTGATGATGTAGATGAAAAAAGAAAGAAACCCAGATCGGAAAACCTCGTATGTTGTCGTGTCCGGACCATGTGGTGTCATGCAGTTGTGAAGACTTGCACCGCCAGGGACAAAGCCTCCAACTTTTGCCTACGGGATTTCGTAGGAAAGAAGAAACAAAAACCCGAAAAGGTAGAGCATACATGTAATCTGTTAGATTCTCTGTGAATGTTTTTTTTTTCTATCCTATGAGAGAATGTATCAGTTAGATACAGGTCGTTACCTCGTATGAACCATAGATTAAGCCCATAAACTCACTCATGCAATTACGATGATAATAAGGCGGACGAAATGTATGTTCCGCAACCAACCATCGGGGAGGAAAAATGACAAAATCGAGCAATGCAACCCCGGGTTTATCTGTTGGTGCTGTAAGAACTGAAATATAACCCCGATCAGGCATTATACGTTTCACAGGAATCAGTACAGAACCCGAGAAACCAAGAAAACAGAAACAACAGCTCGATTAGAAACTACTCGAAAACACTACATACCTGTGTTTATTGATGGATCCCCATGATCTATCAGGACAGTATTATAAGGGCAGAACTTCTGTAGACCATACTGCAAAAACAAAATCATAAACCCTATTTGTTAAATTTTAAAAAAAGATTACGTTAAACCCTGGCGTTGATTGTAAGTTATAATCACCTTATAAGGCACGTAATTTCCATGCCAAGCAACCACGTTAAACGGAGAGAAATCTTGCTTTGCAGTAAAAAGTTCACCGCCGAACTTCTGAATAATAGTGTATGAAGGTCTGAGTCCATCTTCAAACCATGCTGTTGGTGCAAGAAAATCTCTCGCAGCAGCAAGACCATTGGCACCTGCTCACATCCAAAAGTAAGATTCCTACTCGGCTCTCTCAGGATATGTTCACTGGCAAATATACACACACACATGTATACATATATATATGAGTGTGTATCTTTTCTGAATGCAAAGTGAAATCATATTCTCAATCACCTATTGGCCCAAGATCAGGGAGCTGAAAATGAGTTCCAAAGACCTCAGCGACATAACCACGGGACTTTCCATCTGGTAGACCTATGGAAAAACGGAATCCTTGAGGTATAACGGCGATTTCACCAGGACTGACCAATAGTCTTCCACACTCTGTTTCGATCCATAACCCTACACATCCATCGAAATATCAGATGCTGACTTTCAAATCTATTCAGCAGAATTTTCACGGTACAAAACAGTGTTACACATCCAATTCCTCCCCAACAGATAAACTTGTATTTCGAACGACGAATCACCAATCTTGACACTAAGGCATATTACAAAGATTTTAAAGAACAGGCATAGAATTACTTACTTCCTGACTGGGGAACTAGCAAGAAGTCACCATCTGCATTGCACAAGGCGCAATCTTCCATTCCTTTGTTAGCAGCATACCTTCACAAAGAATGATCTTTACTTCTCTTCTCTATCACGGGGAAAAACTTTTTACCACACAAAGCTAAAGGCACCTTGATTCTGAACCCTTACTATGAAGTAAGAACTGAAGAAAGGCCAAGAAAACTACAATATCATAGTTTTTCTCCTTTCCAATCTCCATAAAAGTGTAGTCGCCAAAACCGAAAGCCAATCATCATACCGACATTTTGTGTACAAACAAAAGGGTCCAAAGAGAAGAAAGGTAATATTACTTACATGTGAATGGCGAAGCCATGACGAAGAAACGAGCTCCCAGCTCCACAAATGGTGAATAACCCATCAACGAAGTCAGTTGGTGAATCCGGAATATCTACAGGCCTCCACCGCAACTGAGTCGGATTCGTTCGACTATTCGACCCGTCGAATTCACTCACAAGCTTCTCATGAGCCGGGACTCGTGGCTTAAATGGTTCATGTGTCACTGATGGTTTGATCCTATACAACCAACTACAATACACATTCACAAATTTCCTTCCATCAGCAAAAAGATAGATACTTGGGAATACCCATCACGACACAACGTGAAATCTAAACGCAGCTACAAGAACCAGAGGCTTCTGCTAAAAGAAGTTTGATGAATCCTGATGAATATATATTTATGGAATAGTCATAACTATTGGAAAGAAGAATACGCAACAGGTGCTAATTTGTTTGCGTAATTTTTTCATGACTCAAACACAAGACGAATCCATTTAAGGTTTATCTTAAATTTTCCAAAACGAGAAATATTTTACAAATGATAAACATGCTCTAAATCGAAGCAATTGACAAAACCAAAGATAAATAAAAAAGTGAGACAGAAAAAAAAAACACAAATCAGTGAGTACCTTCTCTGATTGAGCTTCCTAGGGGAAGTGAAGGAGGTGCCGGAGATCTGCTCGGCATAGAGGCCGTACGGACAAACCAGAGGGCTGTTCTGTCCATGCGGCAGTGCTCCGGCGATCGCCTCCGACGAGAAGTGGTTCCCGAATCCCGATTGGTACTCCAATTCTTCCACTTTCTCTCCCATGGCTTCGCTTTCACCGGATCAAGTGGGAAGGATGTGGACGACGATATATACACCGATACATGCGTGCGCACGCAGTGGAGTGAGCTGACGTGGCGTCGCGATCGGGAGGCCTTTACGTCTGGGTTTCAAATTCCTTCGACGTAATTGATACGTTGGGTCATTGGTCTCTTTAATAATGGATCATAGCGGGCCACTTATACTAATTGGGCTTAAACTACATGGGCTTAAAAGCCCATTTAAGTTTAGAGATGTGTCCATTTAGGCCCTTATACTTCAATTTAAATGGCCCATTTGAACCCATTAGAGCAAATGAATTGGCTATTTGGAATATTGGGCTTTTATCAAAAGTGCCTTCACGGATTATGGGCTTAAATTAAAATAGGCCATAGGACCCATTTTCACTGATCCTGGGCCCATAAACGAAAATTCGGGCCCACACGTGTTTACACTCCGTAACCACCGGTCATTCTGCATACACCGATACATATAAACAAAGCATAAATATACTTTTTTTTTTGTAAGGAGAAATAACTTCAGAAATTTATATTTGTATCGGAGGGTCACAAAGTAACAACCTCAAGAATCATTCAACTTTCAATAGTCGTCTTGTCCGGTAATTCAGTTCCTCCACAGACGGATTACATAAGAATCCGACAACAACAAAGTAAGAAAGAAGGAAAACATTAAGGCATTATTGCTAAGAGCCAGAGGAAGAACAAATGGGCGGTTCCAAGATTCATGTTCTTATGTTTCCGTGGTTTGCATTTGGTCATATGACTCCATTCCTTCATCTCGCCAACAAATTAGCAGAAAAGGGTCACAAAGTAACTTACTTGTTGCCCAAGAAAGCTCAGGAACAGTTGGAAAACCTCAATCTACACCCAGAAAGCATTTCTTTTAATCTGGTTAGTGTTCCATCTGTCAATGACCTTCCTGCAGGTGCAGAGACAGCCTCAGACATTCCTATTTCTCTTTCCAGTTCTCTAGCTTCGGCAATGGATCTAACACGCGATCAAGTTGAAGCTAGGGTTCATGCTCTGAAACCCGATTTGATCTTTTACGATTTTGCTCACTGGATTCCAGAAATCGCCCAGCGGATTGGCGTCAAGACTGTGTGTTATGTAACGGTTTCTGCTGCGACGGTAGCTATTTCGCTTGTCCCTGGCCTCATTAGTTCGAGAGATGGGCCGAAAACGGAGGATGAACTGGTCATTCCTCCGCCTGGATATCCTTCCTCCAAGGTTGTATTCTACAGGCACGAGGCTCGCACCTTGTTGTTTCTCTCGCTTCCGTTCGGGGATGGAACAACGTTTTACGAGCGGGTCATTATGGCTCTCACGAAATGCGATGCCATATGTTTAAGGACATACAAAGAACTCGAACGGAAATTCTGCGAATATATCGAAAGCCAGTACCAGAAGAAGGTCCTTTTGACAGGTCCAATGCTACCTGATCCAGACAAGACAAAACCACTGGAAGACAGATGGAGTAACTGGCTAAGTGTGTTCGAGCCCGGTTCTGTGGTGTTCTGTGCGTTGGGCAGCCAAATCATTCTTGAAAAAGATCAGTTCCAAGAACTCTGTCTAGGTTTGGAGCTGACGGGTTTACCGTTTCTGGCAGTGTTAAAGCCGCCAAATGGCACGTCAGCGATTCAAGAAGCATTTCCAAAAGGGTTCGAGGAACGAGTAAAGGACCGAGGGGTTATTTATGGAGGATGGATTCAGCAACCATTGATATTGTCTCACCCATCAGTCGGTTGCTTCGTCAGCCACTGCGGGTTTGGATCGATGTGGGAATCTCTGATGAGTGATTCTCAGATAGTATTGATCCCGCATTTAGGTGATCAAATCCTCAACACCAGATTGATGGCCGAGGAACTCAAGGTTGCAGTCGAAGTTCATAGGGACAAGACAGGATGGTTCTCGAAAGAGAGCTTGAGCCATGCCATTGCATCTGTGGTGGATAAAGACAGCGAGACCGGGACCTTTCTGAGGAAGAATCGCCAGATGTTGAAGGAGACTTTGGTTAGTCCCGGGTTAACGAGCTGTTATGTCGACAACTTTGTGGAAGAATTGCAGAATCTAGTTCATACAAACTCCTCTTGATGCGTTTTTTTCCCTTTTGTTTCTGGTTTCCACATTGACATATCTAGGGTTTTCACCAATACATTCAGCTACTCTATGTCGTAGAATCAGAGAAATACATCAATACCTATGAACAACAACGCAATCGTATATCGATGGTTTCCAGCTCGTGTTTCACAACGTGGAATCTCCTATACGAGCAGTGAATGAAGAAAGGGTTTTGTTCACACAAACTACAGATCTATCAAAGGACTTTAGTTCCAGATGATAAATCTCTTCTGACATGACTCAGAAGGACAACTGAAAGAACATCATGAAACATAACTGAGACAAGAACCAAAATCTTGTCCCGGTTCGGTCAAATCCATGAGGCTGAAGTAGATCCATGTCCACTGGTGATCAAACAAGCGTAAAGCTCGTCCAACCCCATGACCTGATGATCATTACCGGCGAAACAATCACCCGAACAGTTAGAATCATCCACCGGAGAAGCGGTTCGATGATCAAGATGGCCGTTTTTCGTCATCGGCCTCGAGAGTTGATCCCTCGATTTCCTCAGCTCTTCTTGCAGAAACTTAACCTCACGTTCAAGCCTTCTCTTGTCGGCCAGAGCGGCTTCGAGCTTCTCCATGATGGCTCCGTGCTGGAGCTCGAGGGTCTGGGTCTTGCACCTTGCCCGTTTATTCTGGAACCAGACAGCGACTTGTCTCGGTGGCAAACCCAACTGGCTGGCCAGTTGATGCTTAAGCTCCGGCTCCAGTTTCTTGTTCATCACGAAACTCTTCTCCAACACACTGATTTGCCCTTGTGTCAGTCTCTTTTTCCTGTTTCTGGTTTGTGTTTGGGGCTTCTCCATGTTTGGTTCTTGCTGTTTCACAAGGAAGATAGAACGTTGCAGCTATATATATATATATATATACGTACATTCAGGACATAACACGTCGGATTTTTCTGTTTGATTATTTTTTTTTATCATTCTTTTGTCCTTTTATGGAAGATCAAACTTGAGTTCAACTCATCCAAAATGGGATATGTTTTCGATTCTTAATTGGGATATGTCCGTATTCGACCGATATAAAAATAGTCAATAAGTCACTATTAAACCATATATTATATATATATTGGATTTGATTTGATGCATGAATGGATAATTTCGTAATCATACCCAGTCCCGGATTCAAGCTCCTACAAGTTTCTCATGGCCATGCCTATAATTCCTGTTATGTTTTACTCGTGAATAAAATTATGTTTCCTACAATTAATCAGATCATCATATATGAAATATCAATAAACCTAATGACACACACACACACACATATATATATATATATAAAAGCATGCTTTCTTATTGCATTCACATCTTCGAAATACGATTCGAGCAAGGAATACCAAATCCTAATGTTATGAATTGGCTGTGAAACATGTTACTTGAATAATACGATGATGTTCGGACATTTTTGGTTAACTGTCAACCAAAGGTTCCAAGATTTAAAATGTAATTTTTCTGATTTCTACATTTGGTTTAATATAATTTCAAAACGTACATATATATAAATAGAGAGTCAAGGTAGGAGGACAGTCTATTCGGGAACGACACTGTAGGGCCCCCGACCCAGCCAACTGCTCAAAATGAAAAACAAATAATATTAAAGCATATTAAACATCTAAATTAATTAATTTATTAACTATTCGATTAGCAAGCCTTTTCTTTAAATACATGCATGCATTCACGTGGGTTGGTCGTACCACTAAAGTAAAATATATTATCCAAATCTTATTGAATAAAAAAATATGGTATTTTTAATTTGAACTGTTCAAAATTTCTAAACGATATTAATTTTAGAAAAATCGAATTTTTTAAAATCGAATCGAATCGAAACGAAATTTAAAAGAATCTAAAAAGCCAATTTTTTTTAAAAAAATCTAATTTTTTAATAAAAACCAGAACTGAACCGAATATAATATAATAATCGATTGGTACTTATATATTTATAAAATCGAAAGAATCGAACCGAACTATTTTCAATCCGAACCCGAAAAGAATACCGAAACGTACCCCTGATCCAAAGTGTTAGAAATATTATAATTAAATCAGCTTCTCATATCCTCTCTTCTTTCATATATACCATGCTTCATGTTTAAGATTTTATGTACGTCCAATCATATACTTCCTTAGCCTACCCAACTCGTTACAGGAATCAATTACTAGATGGTCCATTTGCTACGGAATAAAAACTAGGGCTAATTATGCATCCGTTATTAAAATGAGAAAAATGTGATGTTCCATTCATTGGATCGTATATAATATGTCCGCTCGAAGAGCTACACATCCACGCCTCTCTTGATTCGGTGGTTATCTCTCACAAGTCACATCTTCATGTTCATGCACCTCCCCCTCGAACCGTGAAGACTTTTCCGACCCTTTTGGGCCCTCTTCAAGATGGATTTATTTAAATATCTTATAATGATACTAACCATTTCTTTTTAATAAATCCAACCATAAATTTCATAGCATACACGCTTGGTAAATTAGAGATCAGAATTCCAAGATGTTGTGGGTTTGGTCGGAGTGTCGGAGATAGAAACACTTGATTCGGTTGAACGCTTCCTCGAGAGAAGATTGGTCAGCCGCGAACGTTATCCTCAGCCAATTCTTCAGCCCCACCGCCGTTCCTACGGTTCACCACACCGGTGACATAAGAGTGATATATACCCAAACACAAATAAAATCTTTCTAATACTTGTTTGATATGTGGAACACAAAGTTTAAAATAACAAAAATCGATTTTTTTAAAATAAAATATTACAGAGTATATGAGTTAAAATCTTTTTTATTAAACCAATCGAAATCCGAAATTTCAAGAGAGGAATGAATAGATTTGTATGCAGTATACTCCATTCGTTTAAGTTTAGATGATGTTTTAGAATAATTTTTTGTTTTAAAATAACTGAAGTTTTCATATTTCCAATGTATTTTTTAATATTTTTTTTTTCCAAATTTGTCCTTTATTAATAACAGTCAAATATTCTACAAGTATAATAATTTTAAGCATTTTTCTATTTTTATACTCTAATAATTATTCAACAATTAACTACGTTTACTTTTTTTTTATCTTATTTAACTCTTGTATAAATTACATTAAAAAAACTAAATTTCAAATAATTTTATACTTCACCAAACTTATCATTTTTCAAAATCCAAACAAGATATCAAGATGAAATCGAAGAAATTCTGAAAATTTATAGTTAATCAAATTTCATACTCTAATAGACATTTGATGTTTGTAGTTTTGTTGTTTTGGCTCAAATTCAAAATATTTAAGTAGATTAATCTTATAGAATTGACTCCAAATTTGAATTTTTACGGGAAAAAAAATTAAAAACACAAAATAATGTTTTTTTAAAGTTTATTAAGAAGAAGAATTAATTTGTTGATTTATTGGAAAAGATATTGATAATACATATTCAATCATTGATAAGAGTAATTAATAAGGGTATTTTAGACAAAATATTTTTTTCTTTTAATATGTGTGTCTAATACCGAAAATTTATCTAAGCTTAAATGGAGGGAGTAATACATAAAAACTAAAGATATAAAAAATACTAGGAATTGGTTTGGTAGTTTTACAATTTGGAAATTGATTGTAACGGGTTGCAACAAATTGGTATATTGGTGTTCATATGAGATCTCATCTCACATCATGTTTGGAGACACGAAATTTAGATTATTTTTTTTTTCAAACCTACTTCTAGGTTTGATCTTGAGCATAGATTTTGGTTGTGTTTATATGTTAGTGTTATATACGCCAATTTGCTAGGGACAGAGTTTATATATATGCAGATGGATCTACTAACCAGGAAGAATGATAACCGATTCCTCTCGGGCGAGCTTGAAGCAGAAGTCGATGTCGTCGCTTATGTCTTCGAGCAATTCCAGATTCAGTTTAACCTTTTTGCGAAAACAAGAACGTATACTAAGTTTCGCAGTTGCAAAAGTTTATAAACAGATCAGAAAGAACAACGAATATTGCGGATCTTTGGCTCACCATCATAGCCATAGACCCCTCTGGTCTGTGCGCGCAGTCGATGCAAGGAATTTCCTTGATCCGTTCGTAACAAATAACCGACGAGTTTTTCAGTGTGTTCAACGTCTTCTTGAAGAAAAGCTCGTCCGTCTGTTCAAGAATGGTCGGAACCGCAGCCTTCCAGACCAAGAAACATGACGCAAATCATCAATTGGGAAGAACAGAAGCAAGAAATATGACAGTCATGTTCCAAATCTGAGTACCTGAATGAATGTCGCTGGTCCTCCAAGAATATCAAAGTATTTCTTGAAC